ACGGCACATAACAACTTTAATGCAAAATCAAGGAACACTAAAGAGGTATATTCAATACAAATGCAAATTTATTACTATGTATTTGCAAGAATACATTCAGTTCACCCATGAAAACTTCTAACATTTTTGTTCACGAACCAGTCTTATTTTAAAGCTTTGATAGAAAGCAGGATTTTAATACTGATGCTATTGGTAAGATCAGACATATTAAAATTTGTTAATAAAATATATAATTATCAATTCCACAAAAGAATAATTTCTATTATCACAAATATGAAATACATTTTCATACAAAAGGTGGTAAAAATAATTTGTTTATAGCAGTCCTTTTTGCCTCCTAAGTGGCAGCTGGAGTTATAGGGAAATATTTTTGGTTGTCACAACTGTGTCTGTGTGTGTGTGTAAGGGGGAACCACTGCATCTGTCTGAGTATAGGCCAGGGAGGCTTCCAAATATCCTACCAGGCAAAGGCACACAGCACAGTCCCTCATGATAAACATTGTTGTTGTTGTTATTTGCCATCGAGTCGGCCCCGACTCATAGCGACCCCTCCTTGGGCTTCCAAGGCAGTATCACTACGGAAGTAGGAATTATCTGGCCCAAAAAACCCAATGGTGCTAAGGCTGAGAAACTCTGGTTTATAGGCTTCACTCCCTTATTAATTTTATCCACATTTAGGCATTCACCAAGAAAAGAAGGGTGTGACTCAGAAATGTAACAAGCTCAGGCAAATTCAATCTAGACAATTTCTCTGTTTGAGAAATGATGCTATTTTCCATCACAGAAAGGAAGAGAAATGCACTGAGTACATCAGTAAAAGCAAGCTGTTGGACAATGTTTTAACTCCTCACCAACCTTTGCTTCTGCCTTCAACCTTGCCTATAATTTGCAGAGCAGATCCACAAATACCCAAATACAGATGGAAAAATTCATGCCAAAATTTTCTGGAATTTTTCTCACCATTACCCTATCCCATTTGGTTCAATGGCAAACTGTTTACAGTTAGAAATACTAACTAATTCCAGAGTCTGGACTCTTGTAGCTAAGTTTGTTTGTTTTGAATAGCAGTTTTTCATCTCAAAAATGAAACCTCATAGAGAATATGAGTGCATTTAGATGGTGTACTATGCATTAAGCATCTGTTTTACTTTATCTGTCTTTGGTAGCAATGCAAGATACACTGTTCATTATGGGTTGCACTCAAAAGTGTCAATGACATTGTTTTTTTTTTTTTCAACCTAATAAAAAACAGTTGGAAGGGAAAAAAAAAAAAAAAAAAGGATACTATTGCTGCTCCAACATATTGAGCTGACTCCGTGGGGTGATGTGTGTGGGTTGAACTTTTCCACCAAGGTCATAGATGAAGCATCCCATATTTTAATATCATCTCCCGATGAAGCAAATCTGAAGCTTTCCTGCATGACTGCACCTATAAATAGTTTAAAATAATAAACTTAGAAAGCAGTTGAGGACAGGCCAAAAAAAAATGTCAAAATGAAGCAGCTACTATAAAATAAGCGCATGTGGCTCTACTAGTTGACTTTTGTCCCACTAGATGCACTCACCACAAAGCAGCTGGGGTGATTCTTTTTAAAACATAAACCAGATCATTCTCCTAGTGGCCCTTCCAAGGGCTCTCCACAGCAACTATAATGAAACCCAACTTCCTTAGCATGCCTCCCAAGACCTGGCCCCTGTGTACCTCTATCATTCTTCCCCCAAGTCCACCAGATTCCAGATCTGGCCTTCAATCTCTCATGCAACAAGCTGAGGTCATTCTCATCTCTGCATTTTCTGCTCCCGCTGCCAGGAAAGCGCTTTCCCTGCCACATGCCCATGGCCATCTATCGCCTCATCATTTAAGTGTCAGCTCAAATGTCTCCTCCTCAGAAAGGGCTTCCCCAGGCACCGCGACTAAGGCGGGCTATCATCCTCTGTCCTATTACCCTGTTTCATTTTTTTCATGACACTAAAGCTATCTGACATTCTTACCACTTCTAAAGTCTACCTCCTTAGACTTGAATGAAACAAAGATTACCAGATCCTTGGAAAGTCCTTGGCACACAGTAGGTACTCACAGTACCTATTCAACAAACAACTATTGGATAGGTGACTTCCTTATCTTTTAAAAAATATATGATATCAAACTGTAACACTCCTGGTGTTCTGAATCCAATCACCCCAGTTTTTCCAAACAAATCCAAAATTAGCAAACATGGCCGAAGGAAAGAAACTAAGTCCCTATACTAATACTTGGTCAACAGTGTCATCACTCAATTATTTATTCATGATACATAACACAAACATATAACCTAATAAGGTGATTTCCCAATCACAGCAGTCTAGAAGAAAGTAGACAGGGAAGCTGCTCTAGGCAGACATTTTAAAAAGTAGCAAGTAGTAACAGATGACAAGTCATGAAAAAAACAGCCCTCCATACCTGCCTCCATTGGACAGGGCAAGACTAGCAAGCCATTATTGATGTCACATACAGGTCTTCAAATCATCAACAAAACACAACATTATAGTCATAATAAATTATACAATGCTTTCATTCCCAAGAGAAGAAAAAAAAAAAAAAACCTGAATGTGCCTACAAAAAGGCTAAAATTTTGGTAACTAGAAAATTCACTATGATTACGCTTCCTGGTTCAGATAAATGTGACGCTACCTAACAGTAGCTACAGTCACCTGCTGACATACAGAGGCTGCATTGGTGCCTTCACCTGTGCTTTCTTGGTTCCCTACTCAAGAACAATGAAGTGCTGGAAAAGCCATCTCTAAACTCGGTATACACAACTGGCAGATCTCACTACCATAAGCTTGCACCATTCCTCGTTAGTGGTGCGGCAGAGGGGAAAGATCACGAACATCAAGGCTCCGGAAACTGGCCAAGCCATCTACCCCAGAGCTGGCAGGTGACAGTGACTCTGGCCGAGTCATTAAATGACTGTTTCTTTCTCTGAACGTGGAGAGGAACAGGCGACCACCTGCCCAAGGACCTTAGTCTTGTGAGAACTGAACACGTTCACGGAGTAAGCTTCACGTCCCACAGAAAGTGAGCTGTTAATAGACGCCCCAGAATGGGGAAAGGGGTTAAATGTAACACTCAACTCGGACATTCGGCTTTAACAAATAAAAATTATCCGATGGTTATTCGCCAAAAATGCATTTTTCATGAGGGAGAATTGCTCAACCGGGGTACCCTGTAAAATGCATTTGCGTGCCTGCTAAACTAGTCATATTTGAGAAGTTTATAAAAAGGGACAGAGAGACTTGTGAAGAGGCAAACTTTTCGGAGGTACCACATGCTTCAGTGCTGTCACCACCCACTCTAACTGACCCCGGCAAACTCTCAGGCAAGGGCAGAGGCCCCCGAAGACAGGGCTCAAGACCTGGGCCTGTGGGTCCTGCGCTCGTTCCGGGGCATTTCCGCGCCAAGTGTGCCGCCGCGCCCTGCCCCGCAACAGTCCGGAGCTCCGGGGCGGCGGGAATTCACCACGCCTGGGGGCCTCCGACCTGCCTGTTGAGGTGAACGGAGGACGGGCGGGGTCCAAGCAGAATGAGAGAACGTGACGGACGACGGCCAGCTGACCCTGCCCTCCGGGACCTCACCTCTCAGCGGCTGCACAACGGGGACCCACTGCTGGGCCCGCTCCTGCGCTGGGCTTCCGGCTCCCGCCTGGATTGTTAAACTTCGGCGGCCGGAAGTCCCGCCTCCAAATTACATCACGGGGCGGAGCGAGGCCCAAAGCAGGGGTTTCTCTTGGCTGGGCTGGGTCAGGGTTGGTGCTGGCCCTCTGGGAGGGTCGTAATCTTAGTGCCTGGGTGGGATTTGTGGGCCTGGGCGGCTCCCTCTACGTCCCAGGGTGGACTCCCCAAGTACAGGGAGCTGCTCCTTTGTCGATCTTTGTTAGCTGAGTGCCTGTTGTGTGCCAGGCACTATGCTAGACTCTGGGTGTAAAGTGATGAGACTAGCCTACAGAGGTAGAGTGGAACCCTGGTAGCCTCTGGTCTGGTGGAGCTGACCATCTGATATAGGAGGTTGAAATTAATAATTACATGCATGATAAATGAAACTGTGACAGTTGCTACAGTGGGCAGCTACAAGACACCAGAGAGCGCATAATAAGGGAAATTAACATGAAAGGAGTTTAGTAAAGACTTCCCTGAAGAAGAAACCAGGAAGAAGAGATAATAAATACTACCACTTGAAATTTACCAAAGAGTAAGCATTTCAACTGTTAGACTGCAAAACCCTTGATTTTTTCTTTCACAACAGACTGCGGGGTCTGGGACGTTAGACACCATCTGGTTATGAACTTTTTAAGGGACTGCTCAGGGTGGAAAAGGGGCTGAACTGAGATTTCGAATGCTCCTATCAGGGTCGTTTTTAGCTCTGACAATTTTCGCTGGAAGTAGTTCTAACAAATACATAAGGTACTTCTTCTGGAAACGGTGGTGGTATTTCTTCTTCACATGTGCATAGCGGTGTGAGTCAGAGTTAGGTAGAAAAACCTCAGTGCCTCCAATAACTGGAAAACTCTAGGAAGTGCAGTTTTTCAGAACAGAAAGCATAGCCAAGTTCTGGAGGTTGATGAGCAGCTGAAGAAGAAAGCAAAGGAGCTGCGGGCTTCCCCGCTACAGGAAAGTAGAGCCTTCCTGTAGGAGACCTTTCCAAAGCCGAAATGGTGTAAAGCAAAGAAGCAACTACCATTAATTTTTATAGGAAAATTTTTGAGGAGTCTCAGACCCCAAAAATAACCTACCAAGTTACACCAAATAACACATAAAACCTAAAATAACACTGACGATAGTGTTCACAGACAGTTCAAAGCTTGATGCTGAAATCCTGAGGGCAGCTCGAACGCCGCCTTGCTGCTAACCAAACGCTGAATACTAGTTCCACTAGTCTGGGGCAGACTTGTTAGTCTGGAGGACTGTGTTGTTCACCTATGAAGCTTTTTACCTTTTTCTTAAAAATGGAAAAACCTTTTCGGATTTCTTTCAGTTAGTGAAAACTGGTACTAATATAAGTCTTTTGTAAAAGTGAAGTGGCATAAAGCAAGCTTTGGAAAAGCAGAGTATAGCCCTCAGTTCTTGAGGTTATTAAATCCAGTTTTGTGTGGGGGCGCAAACTAGGGGAACTGAGAAAGTAGAATAAGCGAGTGGGAGAGGGGGAAAAAGAAAAGCTACAAAAGGGAAAAGACAATTAACTAAATCTCTGAAAATTTGAAGCTGGCCAGAAAATTGAGAGTTGAATATATGAAACAATATACACAAGACAATAAAAAGTATACGGGAGATAAAGGAAGAAATAAAATTCTATGTAAAAATACGATCCTGTACTAGATAATCATTAAAAATCCACACAGGAAAATTATCTAGAACTAATAAATTGATTCAACAAGGTGTGAAAATTTAACTTTACCCAAAGAATTTGGCCTTTGTCTTTGGTTCCTTGGAGATAATCTCTGTGGTAGTATGTTGTGTGTCAACGTGGCTGGGCCTGGTTGAGTGGCTGGGCAGCTGGTGGTTGTAATTCCCCATGATGAGACTGGCAATCGACTCCATGATAGTAGGATCTAGCACAAGCAGCTGAGTAGCTTCCTTTGGGATGTGGTCTGCTTCCTGTATATAAGGAGAAGCCTTGGCCATGGTCTCTAGCCTGACACGCTTGGACCCTGCATGTAGCTGTGTCATTAATACTCAGCAGTCTGGTATGCTCTGCAAACCTTGGGACTTACAATGGACTTAAGTTAATGACTTGCCGTGTGGTTTGGTAACAACGGGACTATGCCTTTTGACTTGTCAGCCTTGGGGCATCTCAGCCTCGGGAGCCAGCAGCTGTCTGAGTGAAGAAATGCCTCCGGCTCCAGTGGGCTGGGAGCAGGAGGCAGAGCGGGACCCCAAGGTTGAGGGACCCAGCCCCCAGAGCCTGGCACTCTGAACTTGGACTTAAAGCCTCCACATTGTAAGAATAAACTCCTGTTTGTTAAGGCCATCCCATTTGTGGTATATTCTTGTCAGAGCAGCACTAGGGAAACAGAACAATCTCTAAAGTCTTGGAAACTCTGGAGTGATTGGAGGTGTAATTCACACTGGGACCACACCTGAGCGGTTCTGTTAAGGAGATGACTCAGAATGGGACTGGCTGCTCCAGAAAGACTGATCAAGTGATAACAGCCATTCGGAACAGGAAATTGAGTTCAAATATGTGGCCAATAATTCCATCAACCATGTGTATGTAATGAAAGCCCAAGAAAACTTGGGATTCTAAAGTTTGTGTGAGCTTCTTTGATCGACAATATTCTATATATGCTGATTGCCTTATGCATTTCTCCCTTTGGTTGGTTCTCATTTGTATCTTTTTTGCTATAATAAAATTATGATTGCAAGTATGGCACTTTCCTGAGTTCTG